TAAAAAATGAGAAATAATCAGGAAGAAATAATTAAAAAGAAAAAAATAAAATAAATCTATTTAAATAAATCTTTTATTTATATAAAATCCAAAAATTCTTTATTAATTTTATATTTAAACTTTTCAAATTAATATAATTGCTTTATATTAGCTTTTCTAAACTCTAATTCTAAATCAAAATTCTAGAAAATCTAATTATTTAGATTTATTTATGAATATTTTAAAAAATTAATAAATATTAAATCATTTTTATATTTATTTTAATTTTAATTAATATTCAAATCTTTTAAATCAATTTTTTTAAATTCTTAATTTTATTATTATTTTTTTTATTTTTAGATTTCTTTTTTTTTTTCTTTTTTTTTTTTTATATTAATATCAACTTCCCAATCCTCAAATCTATTTCAAAATTATTTGATTCGGATTCTAATATAAAGTTATCATTATTTTGAATAAGGTTTTTTGCTTTTAAGTTTTTTAAATAAAGTTAATTAAAATCAAATTGTTTTTGGATTTATATATTAGGATTATTATATTTCAATATTCAATTGAATTTATATAATTATTTTATTTTATTTATTCTTTAATATTTTTAGATAATCAAAAGTTTTATAAAATACTTTTAAAATATAAAAAATCTAATACTTTTTTTATTTTTTATTTTTTGATTTCTATTTTTTTTAGAAGTTATTCTTGCTTTTCAATTATATATATTTCTGGCTTTTTATTTTTATAAATACTTTTTTTGTTTTTCCTGTATCTTTTTCTTATTAGATTTAATAATTCTTAGTATTTTTTTGATTTTTAAAATTTAAAAGAATTTCAATATTTTCAATATAAAATTTATTATAATTAAAAATGTATTATTTATATTTATAATATTTTCAGATTTAAAATAATTATATTCTATAAAAACAAATATTATAATTGATTGAAATATATAATATATAATATATAAATCTATAAATATATATTTTTAATTTTTTAATTTCAATATTTATTCTTTTCAAATCTTATTCTTAAAGCTTTTTAGATATAAATTCTTTTAATAATTGAAATTTTTTTTATAATAAACTGAAATGATTCAAATATAGATCTTAAAAGTTTTATATTCTAAATAATTTTGTATTTATAATATAAATTAAAAATATATTATATAAAGAAATTATATTATATATTAATTTTGAAAAGAAATTAATAAATAAATAAAAACTAAATATAAATAAAAGATTTTTTTTTTTAAAAAATAAAAGTATAAAGAAAGTTTTGAAAGCAAAGGTTTAAAGTATAAGAAAGTAATCTAAAAAAAAAGAAATAAGGGTTATTAAAAAAGTTTATTAATAAAAAGTGAAAAATTAATAAATATATTTTTATTTTAAACTTCTTTTTTATTAATTAAATATAATTATTGTATTATAAGAAATTAAAAAATATTAAAAATCAATTAAATTGTTTTTGAAAAAAAACCTCTTTTTAATATTTAATTAAAAAGATTTCAAATCAATTCATATATATAAAGGAGTATTAAAAATAGAATACTATTATTCTTATAATAGTTTAAAAAGTAACTGAATCCTTTATAATTATTTATTTTGAAAATATATTTTTTATTCTTTTTATTTATTAATTAAATAAATTATTGATTTAATTTATAGTACTATAATATTATATATTTTATACAAAAAGATAAACTATTAAAGATATTAATAATATTTTTCTTTAAAAAATAATAAAGTTAATAACCCTTATTATTAATAAATATTACACTTTAAAAAGCTAAATTTTATTATTTTCTTATTAGTTATTTCTTATTAATTGTTTTTCACTAGCCATTTTTTATTAATTATTTCTTATTTGCTTAGTTTTATATACTTATTTTATTTATTTTATATATTCTTAATTAATAAATAAATATTAAAGGTATTTATATATTATTAATATTAAATAAAATAATAATATTGAGAAATATAATATTAATATTTAATTGAATAAATATAAAGATTATATTAACAAAAATATATAATAAAAAAAACAAAATTATCAAATCAAAAGCTATTAAAACTTGAAAAACATTTTTTATTTATAGTTTATTATAAAAGAATAAATAATGTATGAATTTCCTTTTTTTTCCTTTTTGTGTTATTTTTTAAGCTCTTTACAAATCTTATTCACAAACTCTATTTGAAATAAATTTATGTATATAAATATTAGCAATTTATTATAAGATTGATATATATTAGATATCGAATATTATAAGAAATCAATAAACTTAAAAACTATATTAATTTCTAGAGCTTTATACTTATTAGAATAGTTTTATATAATTATATAATATACTTAATACTAAAGGAATAATAGATTATTAATTTGAATATATAAAATACTAAAATGGTTTTTTGATTTATTAAAATTTTTTAAAGATTTATTTATATAAAATAAATTATCTACAATTTCAGAAAAAATAGTTCTTCAAAATCTTTTTGATAATATATAATTTATAATAAATTATTTATATTACTTTATTTCTAACTTTAAATTAATTAATAATAAAATATATCTTAAGAAAATAAATCTTTTATTTTATATATCCTAAAATTATATTTATTTTATTTTTTGATATTTTTATTTAAAAAAGATATAAAACAAATTGAATTAATAAGATTATCCTTTTTATTTGATAAAATAATTATTAATTATATTAAAGTTATAGAGTAATATACAAATTTACTACTAACTATATAAATTTCAAATAGAAATTAAAGAATTAATCAGCTTTTTATATAATGATTTCGATATTAATAATATTTTCAATTATTAATTTCACTTATTTATAAAAATATTTTCTATAAATAATCAAATATATAAAGCTATATAATATTTACTTTTTTATTAAATTTAATATTTTAATTAAATAAATTAAAAAGATATTAATATTTTATATAATATCCTTTGATCTAAATAAAATCAATTAAATCAAATAAATAATATAAAAAGAAAAAATCTATATTAATATAATTTTCTTTTTAATTTGATTATTAATTAGATTCTTAATATTATTAATATTTAATTAATATTTTAAAAAAATAGTTTATATAAATTGATTATAATAAAAAATTCTTTATTTAATAAATTGATTTAATTATTAATTAGTTTTTTATAAATAAATTTATATTAAGTTTAAAAAAGCTTTTTATAGAATTTCTATTTAAATTGATTTATAGATTTTTTTAAAATATTTTTAATTTCAATTTTTAAATTCATTAATTTATTCTTTTTTTCAATAATATTGATAAAAAGGCTCTTTTTATTTTTTAAATTATTATAGATATTATATTTTAGATTTTGATTAATAATATAGCTATTATTGTTATTTCTTTTATTATTATTATTCTTATTATTATTTGTATTGATATTTATAGAAAATATTTTATTAGCTTTAGAATCCTATTATATATTATAAATTAATATAATTGAAATAAACTTTATTTAAATAAAATATTTATATATAGCTTTTCTTTTTTAAAAAAAATATTTTTTTTTAATTAAAAATAATATTATTATTATAAAAAAAACTGGATAATAAATTTTTAATAGAAAAAGAAAAAGAGATATTATAATCTCAAAGTTGATTTTGAGATTCGCTTGTTTTTATTATAAATTTAAACTTCTATTTAGAATAATAAATTAAAAAAAAAAATTTCGAATTCTATTTTAGGGGTTTTTATCTCTTTTTTATATAAATATAAATTTTTGATTATTATTATTATCAATAATTTTCGATTTCCTAAATATTTTCGAAATATTCTAAATAGTAATTATATTATTAATTATTAAAGTAATTATAAAAAATAGCTTCAAAAATATTTTAAAATAAATTCTTTTTCTAAAAAAAAGAAAAAAAAAAGATAAAATCAAAATATATTTCTTTTATAATTCTAAATATTTTTTTAAAATTATTATTTATAAAAGCTTTTTATATAATTTTTAATATTAAATATAGATTTTTAATATTAAATTAAAATTTAAATTGAATATTTTAAAAAAATTATAGATTATTTAGTGGATTTAATATACAAATTATAAAATCACAAATAAATAATCTATTTTTTTTGAAGTGGATTATTATTATCACGGAATCTGTGGTAATATAAAGAGTGGATTATTTCAATGGATTTAGCGCGGATTTTGTAATCAAACGAGCCCTTATTTCTTGATATAGTTTAGAAGCTGCAGCAAAGATATCGTTGCTGTTGCACGAATCATGACAATCTCTTTTCATGGAATCATAAATTGTCGTGGTACCTGAGATCACAAATCCATTTTCTGGTATACTCAAATATCGGGGTTTGTTGCTCAAGAGTCGTCATTCTTGTGTCATGCTCGGCACCTCTCTATAGCCAAGAAGCAAGTCGAGTAGTTTCAGCTTCTCTAAAGTTCCATAACACAACTGCCATTAAAGATTTGACTATCAAACTCGAAATGATACAATTCGTCAAATACAATTCATTCTCTTTCCTAGTAGAGGCAAAGGAATGCCGAGCGTCTGAGTGAGTCGAGTGGCTTTGGAATTTTTGAGAATAGACGCATAGTACTATTCCACGAAGTAATTGTTTAGCAAGTAGCTACTACTAGGGTGTGCAGCCACTGAGGTAGCAGGATGCTTCTTCAAATCACCTTGGAGTTGTTTGTGGGGCTTGATAGTTGTTGCTTCAAGATCAATGGTTCGATGGAGAGTTAGATTTTGCGACTTGCGAAGACCTAGGTGAGGTCATTTTTACCAATAATAGGGCAAACTATATACCAGCATATCAGAACACATCAACTTGTACATACATATGTTTCCATGATTTTATGTCACTTGTTTAAAAATCTGGCTGCGTCATTGCAATCTCATGCAGCTTTTATTCTATATAGAGGTGCAAGTGCTCTTCTTCATCGCTCTCTCTATCTGTACTGTTATATTCAAATTTAATTTCAAGTTACAATCAAAAATTTCCAAAATGGCAGGCTTCCTATCCAAGTTCCACAACTCGAAATTTTACCCCCTCCTTCAACGTATTTTCCGCACCCTGCAATTCCTATCGGCTCTCTCGTCTCTTATCGTTTTCTCTATCTGCATTCGAAAGATTCTTAAACTCTATCGCAATATTTCCCACGCAGAGGGAGCCATTGAAGGTATCCTCGCTGCAGCCATTGCTTACACTCTTGCAATTATGGTCTTGAAACTATGTATGCGAAACGGCGGGCCGAAATTCCTTCGCTGGGTCCTAGTTGTGCTCGACATAGCCTTCGTGGGAGCTTTTATTGCCGTAGCTGTGTTGACGAGCCCGAACGGTGGAAAGGCTGGACCTTGCTATGGCCAAAGGAAGAAGATTGCAGCGCAGAAAGATTTTGCTACCGACCCAGGATGCCAATTGCCTCTTGGAACTTTCATCACAGCTATTGTTAGCACGTAAGTTACATCTAGTGCGGTCTTGGTCAACAAAAGTTAATGATATCCATAGTATTCTTCATGCTTTGACTGCCGCGTTCCATGATACTCGGGAGCACCACAGAGAGCACATGGCTGTTAAGGAGGAATATTATAATAGGTATGATCATCAACTCATTCCATCACTGGTGTAATCGTAATAACAATTCAAAATAGAGACAACAGCAACGGCGTAACCCCGACCAATCGCACGAACTATAACCAAGATCACTCTGCTGTTTAAGATATTGTTTTCTTACATCTCATCTTGATAGCTAGTCATCATTTAGAATCGATGATTAGAATGTTGGGTTTATATTGTTGAAATCCAACTGAGGGAACCAAGTTCTGTTGATACACTGGCTGGATTTGTGATATTATAACGCTTGGGAAAGGGATCATCTGACCTGGTTATCCCACTGGGCCCCAAGTGTCCCACAGTGGTGGGATGTGGTGAGAGCAATGGGACAGCAGTAAACAAAGATTTATATCAGCAGAATCTGTTTCTTCAGCATATAGAGCTTCCCGCTTAACTCAAATAGTATATTTTATTACTTAGCTATTATCGCTTAGCTTCCAGTTCAATCATACACTACAACAGCTCAGATGAATCTACACCCAAGCTATGATATTTTCATCGGTTTGACATCATTCTAACACTATAATCTCCACTTGTCAATGTAAAAGTTAAAAAGAAAATTCGGTTTGATAATTTAAAAATGAATTCCTGGTTACCTCTCTAGTCTCTCAGGTAGCTCAGCACCGGCTATACAGTACTTCTGGAGTATTGTAGATGATACTAACCATGTGACATTGTTCCATGACCATCACCAGCTTTTATTCACTTTTATTCGAGGCCTGAACAAATGAGGGCTTCATGTGAATGTTCTGAAAAGTGAAATGTCCCCAGAAGTATGGATATATTGGTAACAAGGCACAAAAGCGTTCAATAGTAAAAGGTGTGTAAAATGTATCAAATAAGCATGGTTATAAGTAGCTGGAGACTTTGAGAAGATCATTCCTGCAGTCCAAAATTACTGCTGGAAATGGGAGTATTCACTTTGTCGGTCATGAGATCGCCAATTAGAAATTTTGTAACCTAATACATAATCTTAATGGGTTTGTGGCTTAGCTAGATCTTGCTTCCCATAACAACAAGCAAAGACTCTCGAAGGTTTGAACCTATACACGTTTTCGCAATGGAGTTTCATATCTGCAAAGCTATTTTGGGCATCTTTTTTCTCTATCTCTCAGCAGTTCGTGCTCAACAAGCTGAAGATTTCGGTTCGGTCTGGGTCGTACCTGATGGCACCCAGTCAGATCTTTCACAAACATTTAGACAGGGTCTCACTCTCCAGATTACTTGGTTCGGGGCGCCAGTGGGCTATCAATTCGATACCTTGACAAATTTGTGGGTCACATCGTGGGAGTACGAAAAGACTGCATACAGCCAATTACTCGAAGGTATAATTATGCCAGACCTGCTATTTTACTACCAAGGCTCTTCATGATACTGATACATTTCTTTTTCAATAGGTAATATCAACGCCAACGATAGCGGTACTCATGACTGGACAATCGATATCCCTACCAGTGTTTTAGGCAAGACCGCAAAATACGTCCTTCGATTTAAAGACCTTAATCCTGCATTTAATCCCGACTCTCGTGATGTGTCAAGTCCAGCTTTCTTGGTCATCACCGGAGATTCTGCTTCATCCTCTAAACCTTCCACTTCTTCATCCACAACGTCTTCTACTTCTTCATCCACAACTTCTTCCTCATCATCCACGATCACTTCTTCTCCGACACTTTCCACTTCTGCGGTTTCCTCGGCTGAGACATCCAATTCTCCCACTGGAGCAACTGGCAATTTAATAGCAGCCGATACGGCATACAAGGATAAAGAAACCAAACTTAGCGGTGGATTAGTAGCAGGTATTGCTGTTGCATCTGTGGCTGTACTTTGTGCAGTCCTTGGGTTGGTGTACAGAAAGTACAGACGAAGGAAAAACAAGAGAGATACGGCAACAGAACTATTGACAGAGCATCCTACAGGCTCTATAACGAAACCTCCGACGTACCATGAAGCACCTAATGACCAAGCAGCAGTACCTTCTGAGAAAGCGGTTGAGCTTGGCGGCGAGCAAAGACCCGTGGAGTTGGAGGGCTAGTGCAGATAGTGATGGTGGAGGGATGAAAAGTCTTGGGCCAAATAGAATAACATGTTCACTACAATACTGCTTTTAGCTATCATAGAGAATTTAGGGTGGCTTGTCAAACCAGTTTCGTAGAGAGGCTGTGTCTCAATGTACATTTGACCGTTGCATCGAAAAATTCATGGTGTCGGTTCTACCAAAAAAAAATATAAATCCTGTGACTCTCATCTCATGAATAGCTTCAAAAATGGAAAAGTCTCCCTCTGTGACTGAATCGTATATAATAGAGTGCCTTAACGAATTAACTGCTTGATCACTTGCAATCGATATCACCAGAAGAAGCTTGGGCTCGACACCAAGCTGAGATAGGTTCAAGTGCATTTTCAGAATGCTTACTCATGATCGAGGTCTAAAGCGACGAAGGGATGGGAAGAACGAGCCAATGAATCAATAGAAAGAGTCATAATGAGTCTCAAAGACCTTAAAGCTGTCTTTAGTCTCATCTTAAAATACATGATGTTCCACTATATGCAGATCATTTTCTCTGCTTACATTGATATTCTCAAGCCTATGCAAAGCTATCCCACCGGCTAGTAATTTTACAATCGCTCAAAACGTTTCAAAGACTAGAGCGTGCTATACTCCGATTACAAAGATAATCCTTAAGACAAATGATCACCGCGATATAGACCTTAAACTCCTATCAATGGTAGATAATTATGCAGAAGCTCAAACTACGGTTGATTTCATGAAGTTCCTGATCAATGCGGTACGTATATGGGGTCACGGTCTACTTCGAAGTATACACTATCTTTATCAGCAATGTCTACTACGGCACCATCTCAAAGAGCGTACATTCTCCAATATCATATAAACTAACCTCCAGTCCCCCAGTAATCGCATCCCTTTTCAAATTCTCAAACTCATTCAGATTCCCAAATCGTTTTCGGAAAGCAGGATCAACTAAGAAAGTTTACAAATCTTGCTACTTCATTCTACCCGAAAGCATCAATCTCAGAAATCTACCACGATGAAAGGCGTCCCTACTCATTGCTGGTTAACAGGTAAGCGAAATCATAATTCCTCTTCACAGATTTAACATGAGCTAATTGATAAAGTGCCAAAACAAACTAATCGCCGTCTCGGAGATCTTCCTATGGAAATCATCTACAAGGTGATGGGGCTTCTTGGCTGGGAGGGCTCGACCTGTCTAGGCTTAACATGTCCTGAGCTTTACGCTACCTACAGAGCTCTATACCCATCAAAGGTGCCATTAAGAAGCCTGGTCAATACAAGTCTTCCCTTTCGATTATACCCAGTCACTGACATCGAGATGACCGAATTATATCCACCAATTCCGCTGTACAAGCTAGTTGGAGATTGGAGCGGGTTGAAAGATGAATATTTCTATTGGAAGAATGATCGCTGTTGGAATAAAGAGAGCGCAGGTTTTTTTTCAAAAATGACAACTGCATTAGATATCCCTTCGAGCGGTGTTAAAATACCAGATCTTTTTCTTCTCAGGTCTGCGTTCGGAGATCAGATCCAAAATATGAAGATCTTGCAGGAAAGATATGAGGATTATAATTTCACACGCAGCGATTTTGACTTGACAGATTACGACGGGGATGGTGCGAGTTATATGGACACAAAAGGGGCAAACTTGATCCTCCAAGGGAGTCGAATTCCCTCTCCCTTCAACCTAGGGGTTGAATGGGATAGCAAAGCTAAGAAAGTAATTATGGAGAGCATGAAACTCTCATCATCTGCACTCATCTGGAAATCTTACTGGAAATACACAAATATCTGGCAGCGAAATTGGTTGTACTTCAATCAGAAATGGAAATCTGCTGAGGCAGTGGAGAAAGCTTTGGACGACCTCCGAGAATGGATCGAAATGATCGGGTTTTGAAGAGAAGCGAGTCGCATCAACAGGGGCAAGGAGGGTAGTATTGAGAAGCTGAAAGAGGCATAGAAGGTTATTATCAAATCCCATAAGGATTGGTCTCTATTATCAATAAATAATAAGTATTTTTAGACAGCTGTTCGCTCAAAAAACGTGATTGTGATCTAGATTCTATAGGCCGTAAAATTCAATATTTCAAGGAAGACAACACCCGAAAGCCCCGTGCTATCAGGCTGCTTTTCGCATTGTGAGAGACTCCGGTCATCTGTGAAAAGAACCATAGTACTTCCTTCTGTTCAATGCATATAATTCTTGACTGCTTCCATAGCTGGCCCTTACTCTGCCGCCTTATTCAATCTTTGAGACCGCACAACCATTGAAGATTCCAGGATAAGACAGTTATGCTTTCCCAGAAAATGCATGAATTAATGTCAATATCCACAGTCAAAGACTACTGGTCTATAATCATACCTACTGAAAAGAAAAAGGAGTTCTCGGCAAAGCTGTGACCAATCGGGTGAGGCTGCTAAAAGTTATCCATTATCAGACAAATCTTCCCCACCGCGGGAAGTAAACAAAATATCTCCTCCACAACATTCTTTCTGTAGAGCATAAAATAAAATGACCGTACCTAAGTAACATGTTTGTAGGTAGGTACCTATGAAGAGCAAAAGACATGCAAAACAAAAGGGGCGTTGCCCGGGATTGAACCGGGGACCTCTTACATCATGGAAACAGCCAATGAAGACTGATATATCCCTAAGCAAGAATTATACCACTAAACCACAACACCGCCTATAACTCTCAATCTTGAATAATCGAAGGAAGAGATGGCACAGTGGTTGTTATTTCAATATATATACCCGACAATTGCGTAAACAATAATAAATGGCTACTCTCAGTCCATTTGAAAATTTTCCTAAGCTTTAACTTAACTGATAGAAAGGCTTATGAGGAATTTCATTTTATACGTTGGTTTAACACTTTTGTCTTGATATGTATTTCGGATGCATGTTCCCAGAGGCGAGAGAGGCTCGAGAGAGGGAATGGTAGTGGTAGTGGTAGGTGCACCCTGCTTCATTACTACAGCGACCACAAGCTTTATCTTAGTGCATGACCATCTCCGATAAAGAGTACTGGGTATGGAGAAAGCAACACCCGGATTAACTACATCATCGCAATTAACTCACAACAACAATGTCAAATTCAGACGCAGAATCGGATCCCACTTATACTGTGTTTGTAAAGTTACCATTTCCTCGTGGTGATTTTGTTGATCCTCCAGCCGTATGGAATATCCCCGTGTGTTAAAGATGCTATACTAACTATCTTCTTCAGGTGGAATGGGATGCAGGAAAAGACAAGGCTTTGTGGAAGATATTGCTCAAAGCTCCAAAGAATAGCGATGTTGATTGTAAGTCCTTCAATTGTCTATCAGAATCACCTTGCTAACAGATATAGGGACTGCATTGTAGGTTCCCTCTGCGCGTTCTTCAACACATCTTAACATACTCGCAGAGCTACGAAATTCGAAGTTACTATTCCATTCCTTATTCAGCAGGTAGCATGGCTTTACGAACGACAATTTTCACAAGTTCGAGAGCAGATGAGGAAAGCGACGGTGTCTAAAGGCTCTTTGGCTCCGTCGCCAGTTCCAGACAGTACATCTGAACAAGCAGGTGGAGAAGAGATGAAGAGAACTGGATCTGGGGGTGGAGGTAACTCGCGAGCGGCACATCCAACCCATCAGCTTAGGAGCTCACAACTAGTAGGCCCACGAATTCAGTCCTCTCTTTCCAATAGGAAAAGTAATCCATTTCCGAAAAATGATGGAAGTGTGCCAAACACCCCCAATCGCGCAATGGGTATGATTCTCCCTCTTAACTAGGTAATATAGTTAATATCTAATGTCAAGTAGCTCCGTCGTTTTCCCGCACATCATCTCGGGAAACAACTGTTCAATCTCGCACATTCGTAGCACCAAGTTCGCGACCAACTGAAGCCACCACCAACCGACGATCTCTCTCACCAAAGCAGCGATCACGACCGCCCTCATTGGCAATTGACCATCCACCTAGAAATTCTCCACAACCGGCGCAACTCTCTTCTCCTGAGGATTCCTCCGATGACGATCCTTATCCATTCCAATCAACCCTGCTCAACAAACGCTTTCCTTCTATCAAGAAAACAAACAAAGATCCATCATCAGATGATGAACTCGCTTTTCTTCCCACCCCGCAAGATCCATCCGCCACCCTTCGGATAGAATCCCGCAATTCTTCTCGGCGAATGCCCGCTCACCCGAAGAAACTATTGCCAGTCGAATCGCAGACCTCCGATTCCTCCACGAGTTCTTCCGCCCCGATTGTGAACAAAAGACACGATGCTATAAGCGGAGGCGGCAGACGACTGTTGAATGGTCCGTTGAGTCCTCGTCGCACAACTGAGTTACAAAGTGAGAGAAGTGATGGGGGAACACCAAGTATGGGTAGTAGTTTTAGTGATCTGGATGGTCTGTCTTCTCCATTTACTAAGAGTTTCAAGTCATGAGGCTTATCCTATTCGTGTTTCCATTCATCTCTTTTGCAAATTTCATTGATACCCCGTACTCTTTAAAACTTGAATTCAGTACTCTTTTTGTCACAAAGTCTCTCCAACTATTGACTTAATCCGAATGAGACTTTCAGCTGACGCTAATGAATTTTAGATGCTTCTGTAACGCAGAGCGCACTAGAAGAGGCACTCGCGAGCAACATGCAAGCAGGTGGCATGGCAAGTAGAATGAGCACTATCAGCCAAGCTCTTAGGAGTCGATATTTATAATGGCTGCGACTGCTATACGAAATTATATCACGAAACCTTTCTTTATATTGTCACGTTTCAGGAGATCGGATGGATATCGGTACTGGGGATATTGGTTATGACGTAAATGGGACATGAAATTGGATAAGACTTATGGACAATGGATATGGGATTTAGGTTAGAGGACCGATTGATTAGTGGGTTGGATTTAAGTTATTTGTAATTGTAATCTCCAGTATTTAAACTTCCATCTCATGCTTCTTGCCCCTGCAACCTCGCTTCTCAGATTTGAACCACCGTTTTCTGTTCTTTCTACTTTTGGTATATATATATAGCAACTCAAGCGCCCAGGGAAGGGACGTTGGTTCAATGAATAATAAGATAAGGATAGAGCCACCGAAGCGACTATCTAGGTAGTTTAGGATGGTCAAATTCAAAATTCTTGAGGATCCGAGAATGTCCTTTAGCTCGTTGGATATGAAGTTAACGATATCATGTTACTTAAGCGTCATGTTTGCTGTCAGGAAGTTCTTGTGGCGTATGTTAAAGTTGTCCGACCATGTCGAGCTATTTAGTTGCCTGCATATGGTATTAACATGAGAGTATTCATCACGGAAGTACCTCAAATTCCCTTGAGGAAAATTTCATGCCGTCACCAAAGCACAAGGAGGAAAAGTAGAGAATGATTTTCTGTTTTTATTGTTCCAACCTATGTTGTAACCCCCCCGATTTGTCAATTTATTTAAGAATCTCCATTTGTCAATTTAGTTAAAAGAACCATATTTGGCGGATTTTCGCCAAAAGAAAACGAAAGCTATCTTATCGAAGATTCCTATCGATGATCCTCGCTATATTTTTCTTGACTCAGAGTACGATGTGTACCATGTCAATTTCGAAGCCTTTATCTCCATCTTGCAATTTGTATGCTTGCTTCTCGTCTACCAATCTAAATCAGGAGACACGTTGTCCGCCGATCCCCATCCCTGACCGTCCGCAGCCTCGGAAGAAGGTGAAAGCGGCTGTTTAGCAACTGGCTTCCTGTTTCGATTTTTAAATGCTTGGATTTGGACTTCCTTATATAAGATACCCTCGCTCCCGACATACGTGTGAAGGAATTGGCACGCCGCAGCTGTATTGAGACACTTCTTGGTACTTTTGGACGCTGCGTAGCTGTGCCAAAAGAAGCACGTGAAACGTTTTCCGACGGTGGTTTTGGGGTCGGCAGGCTGATGCTGCTTGCCGGGCGCGGGCGCGGGAATCGCATAGACGACATCGAAGAGCACTCCGGGGTTGATTTTGCCGTTTCGTATGTTCGTCTGCAGTGTGTACTCGCGATGTTCGTGGAGATCACGACATGTCGCTTCGTCGAAGCGACAGCCCTTGGGACTATCCCAGTAACTGGAATGGCTTAGTGGGTGGTTTGGGAAGGGGTGTGAGAGGAGTGGGTTACTTACTAACAGACTTCGGTCTTTGGAACGACAATTTCATGAGGTTCTTCACGAAGTCTGTCCCGGGTGGTCATAAATTTGCCAGGTTTAGGGGAACTGTTGTACGATCTGTTGGGTCGATATTTGGTCATTTGTAGTCCCTGGTATGAACGGTTAATTTGTGATGTGAAAATAATATGTTCTGGAAGACAAGAAATCTGGTAGTAATTTTGAGGTTGTTGTTCATGTATGGTGTTGTTTGAACCTCAGTGCGCAGCTTTGTTGATCTCATTTGCGATATCATACACCGATATCGATTTAGGGCACAAGACTATACAAAAGCACTAAACGTCATTGAAATCTGTGTATAACTGTTTCACCTGAGGTAGTTGACTTTGTGCTATTGAGCCACGTTCACAAAGGAAGTTTTAAAATATGTTGAAAGAAAGGTAGAGGAATATAATGCATAGGGAAAAGTGGAACTGACCTTATTATCATAGTCCGCATCATTCGGCTTCTGCTCATTGACGACTTCTTCGTCATGGTCTGTATTCAGACTAGAGACTCTTGACTCTATTCCAGCGCTCTCGCTGTCACTCTCACTATTGATCTCGCGGTCACTATTAGCTGATGCAACACGGTTGGAACTATCCAAGTTTTCTCTCTGCTTCGTTCTTTCGACACCGTTCGATGCAACTTGTGATTCGGTTGGTGGTGGTAAAATGTCGTCTTCATCGTCATCCGCCCACTAAGAGTTCCTAGGATCAGTCTATGCTTGATTTATTTAAGGATATAGACGGGTTTGAAGGACGTGATTCGGAACTCACTTCAGCCGTTTTTCTATTGTCATAGTCATCCATCGAAAAGCCGCCGGTTTTTTTCGCAACTGGGCTACTATGACTCGTTTTCTTACTGCTTGTCTTATCGTCCTCCAAGATTGCAGACACAGGAAAGCTACCATATAGATCCCTTGTGCAATTCCACCCCAGACAAAGACTAGCACCAAGAGGCTTTTCGACCTTAATTGTGTCACCACAAGATATTAGAATCCCGCCAAATGAGTCAGATGGAGGTTGAAAATCCTTGATGGCTCTATAATTTTTGCCTACTTGGACGCTAGATGTTGTCTTCTTAGGACGTGGGCCGATAGGCATTGACTGAGTACCAGAACTGCCCATACTTCTATTAAGGATTATTCTTGGTTCCTCGCTCGCTCTTTTTGGCTCGCGATGTGTTGAATTCTCCTTCTTCGGCTCATAATCGCGCACAAATTCCGCTGCGGAAGGATTAAATTTTGGCTTCGGCAATTTGACACGAGCCTCATTTTCAGGGAGCTGAGGACGGGCCTGGCAATGGAAGCAAGTTGCATCTGATGGCGATCCCGAAAAATTTTCATGACCATTGCTAGGCACTGTGACCAAGACGTGTGACTCAGCTTCATCCGCAGAAGGTCCGTCATGCTCTTGAAGACCAGCTTGAGTATTGCTGGGAGGTTCGGATACTGCTTTGTCTTCGATCCTCACGAGCTGTTGAGAATCGGAAGGTTCGTACGCATCTGACAACTGTTTTTGGGGGCCGTTGGTAAAAACGTATTTTCCCTTGTGCAGCAACGCGTCTATTCTCACCCATTCATCTTCAGTGAAATACTCTGCACCATAAAGCATACAGCATCCCTAATATCGGAGGAATATTAGCATGAAAAGAAACTCCGTACAAAATCGGATTTTCGTTTGCAAGATCGTCGAGCATGTACAAACTTTTAAATAGCAAGAATGAAGAGAGCAAGTAGCTTACATTCTTAACCTCCTCGAGTATTCTTGTCGCGCGCGATGATAGCAACATACTGCTGATATTGACGAGCAATATTTGATAAAAAGAGTTTCTTGATTCCACAGAAAATCGAACGTCTTTCCAATAATTTCTGACGCGTAACAATATGGCACGAAGAATTATTCAATAGGACAGCGGACAGAGTCCAGAGAAAAAGAAGAGATCGGCTTGCCAAAGAGATATAAGTAGTCTTCCTTCAGATAGCCAAGATGAGCGAAACCATGTCTAGTTGGTCTGGGGGAATTGCATGTTGTGCTGCCTCAACGACACCTACCACGATGCTCCCTACTCAATTTTATTTTGCATTTGACTCTTAGCCTAGTTGGTGGTTTCAAAGTGGGAAGGCTTCCTGCAAGAGTCTGCATAGTGGGTCATATGATTGAGGAGAAAAACGCGTTCAAGAGCCACTGATCGGCCACCGTACAAGACACGTAGTCACAATAGCAGAGATCGTTGTGAAGTGCGTTCATAATTGGTTCTAGATATTCACGGTGGGTAGTACGAGGCTCAGGCTCTATAAAAATCTATAATCTATCTTGTCGCGGACCAAGAAAACGTCACAGAGCTATATGTCGTCTAAAGTCAATACGATATCACGAGATACGGTTTCTGTAGAACTTTTGGGATGTGATGTATCATTTATGGTGGCATGATATCCATGTCAAACTGGAATATGTTGGACTGCATGTCTAAGCCCATCCCATTTACTACCCTGTTCAATAACGTCTCAAATGGCACTCCACTGAAAGCTTCTGGAATAGATTAAAGTCAGAAAGTCGAATTTTGATAGGAGATTTACTCCACCTCCACCGTTCTTTGTCCTCCTGCCGCATATGTCGTGAAGAGATTGGTGAGTATGTTCCAGCCTTTGGCGCTCGCCATACCGAATAACCCTAATTCTATAGGGCAAGTTCCCACACAAGTCTGACCACATGCATGCAGATAAATGCTTATCGCTCCATTGGATGAACGATAGGATATATTCGCGCCGCATCTGCAATGGTTTGGTCTTCAGAATATGCATGTTCCTTGATCTTTTATACACCTCCCAATAAAATGCTATGTCGGTATGCCAGCTGGGAGTCGATCAATCAAATGTATGAAAAGTACGCAGTCTCGAGGCAGTAACGGTGAATTCTAGTTTGGGGTTTGGTTTTTTGGGGGGGTTTTTTTGCTTCGATTAGTCAGCGCTTTTCCTCGTGCCTTCTTTTTATCTGTAATGCGCGACCTGTTTGAGAATGTTGGCGCTTCAAAGAGGACGCGACGCGCCTGCAGGTTTGAGATTACCAAGTTTCTCCTTCCTCGTCTTCAAACGGTAAAATTATAAGCTTCTCTTTCATCTCACTTTGGATTCAAATATTTATGATTCACCCAGAAGTATCTTGATTGCGAACCTAGTGGAATCGTTGCTAGGAGAATTTGGCACGAGAGCTAAGATTGCATGGAATCCTGACTATATTGTCTGTTGCCATGGAACGTTTGGTTATTACCATAGTAATGATGAATGACGGCTCGCTTCAGGTAATCACAGAAAATTCTCGACAAAGAGGTCTGAGAGAAAAAGCGTTGAAGATTGGCGTATGGTAGAAGGCTCATAATGTGAGGCTGATTGAAGTATCCTCATGGTTCGGAGTACAATGTGGAACAATTGAAAGATTTATGATTTATATACAGAGCTTGGAGAGCATTTGAATATCCCAAGACGCAGTTCAACAAACGAAAGCGTTCAATTTATGGATCGAGCTAATTAAGCAAATTCTGTGAAACACGGAATTTGCTTTAAATGTCAGATTCTCTCCTCAGAGATCAAGGCCTCATATTCCACGTCCCGATCCGGACCATGGAATAGCCTTTATCAATGATAGAATGATTTCGAGATTACGGTAAAGTATGCTTTTGAAAGAAATCCAAGATAATAGGCGTAGCATTGAAGCTCGCCGGTCCTTCCCCATGCCCAATCAAATCAGCATTCAACACCGTACTCGGCCAATCATGGTCCAAATTCCTATCGAAGACATGCTGTACTAAGCCTTCATCCTCTCCCTTTCCATAACTATACACAACCGTGTCATGCGTCAAATTAGTCGTCGCATTTTTCAGGTCCAATTTATCTCTCAGAGCCCACTGATGTACCCAGTGCGGAACAGTCGGTATACATTGATTAGATCGATTAGCCTGTCCATCATAATGAATCGTCGAGTCTTCACCGCCATGAAATTCAATCATGGGAATCTTGGGACGTCCTGGAGAGCATGGGATCGTAACATTGTTTGGGAAACATGGTTGGGTGTCGATATAATATGCACCAGAGACAGGAGCAAATGCAGCGATTTTGGTGGAGAGGATGGGATCACAAGCTAGGGTATTACAGAAACCACCCCCATCAGATTTACCGGTGGCCCAAATGCGTTTTCTGTCTATACAGTATTTTCCGTCAAGACTGTCAATTATATCACTGACAAGCTGGGTGTCATTCGCTGTGTTTCCAGGGTTGCCTTCCCATTTTCCCTAATTTTGTTAATCTGTGGCATATCTTTGAACGAGGGGGTCTTGTTACTTTGACTCCTTGAGGGTATATTGTTATGGCGAAAGTGTTAAATTCAGGATTCGTCATCTGATCCAGCGCGAGTTGTTGCGATGCATTTCGATGGCCTCCATGGAAAGAAAATATGACGGGAGTCGAAGACTGGGATGCATAGAGAGGTGGAACGACAATAAGGTAAGATCTATGGACGTCTGAACTTGTAATTGATATATTTTGAGGTTGTCCTATAGTAATATCAGATGGTATAGCTTTAGTGCAAGAAGGGTCTTCTCGAGAATTTGCAACGCTGCGGACGACGTTATGAGCCACCCAAGCATGTATAGCATTCTTGAGAGAAACCATGATGTATGAAGTGTGTATGAGAACAAGCAGTCAACTGACGAAATTGGCTTACCACTGGGTATTTACGTAGAGATATCTGCACGAGGTATATTCTTTACTTGAGGTCAGACGTCCAATTGAGTCATCAAGCATTAGCTTTTGAGCTTCTCGTAGATCTCTTACTTAGGACCCTGAAAATCCTCACCGGTTGCGCAGATCTATCAAGTAAGATACGAAGTTGTGAACCAATTATGTAGAAGATTTCAGAGATGCTTTCAGCTTACGGAATATGTGATTTTGAAATGTGATTTTGCAATAATGGGAAACCCGCAGCGAGGAAGCTGGCTTTGCGTATAGTAAACAATGCAATGGGAAATGATGGGTTACGATAGAGATGATTGAGAGGTTATTACGTATAATAATAGAATTGAAAGAAGTCGGTGTTGGTATTGGTGTTGGTAGTTCAAGCAGATGTGAACATATTGGCATTTGGCATTTTGGGATTGTGGTTTGGTAGGTGATCTACCCCTTACAGGTCCGCTAGCGGCAGCACTCTAGGTGAGATCTCGTCAGCTCAGCAACACACTCATACCAAATATTCTATAAATACCTAGTGGAGGAAAAATCTAATTGACGGCAGAAGAAATCATGTACGGGTCGGCTACCGTGCAACTGTACATCGTTCCTTCATCGCACGCCACGGTATGTTTCAACAGACTCAGCCTGTTGTTCCTGATCCTCGAATGCTGCTCAAGTCCAGCATGATTATTCCCCGAACTAACTTCGATATTGTTATGATTTCGCTATTTCACATTGTCAATCATATCCTTAGTTACAATAAAAAATCATTTAACAAATCAATTAATCTCCATATGAGCAGAGTAACCACAGATTAAGGTGGGATTTCAGACATATATGTCTGGATATCTAAACTAACTTCGAAGATTCAAAGGATTCGATTGTTAGATTCGAAATGGAATATTGAAAGTGTTTGATTAAAAGAACTGAAATTCGAGTATTGACTATAAGGTTTGCTTGGTGTACAACTTATTCTGACCATCGTGTGCGAGTCTAGTCTCACCCGTGCAAACGATCGATGGAAGCGGAGACTCCACTACGATACATTATTTAGCTGGACTGGCGTGAACTTAGTAGATTATAGTCGATAAGGACCAGCTGATCATGTGCTCATGCCTAAATACCGATAGACGCACACCTCATCAGTCACTAAAACAAATTCAATCGTGTGGCCAAAAGAAAAAACTAAAACACTAAAATCGACATCCAAATTCGGGTTTGATGATGAAGGTCTCGTACTTCTACTTCAGAATTGAAAATCAAATAGTCCCTTGGGCTTTGTGTCTGATATTCCAGCTGCTTTTCTCTTCGAATCGCGAGCGTGGAATTCATCTCAGGCTATGGTGATTCCTCACGTCTGTCGTTGTGCGGATGACGTTCTACCTCCAAGTTGAGCTGGCTTCATTCAATAGAAATAGAGGAAATTATTTTGGTAGACAAACTACTAGTGAAAGAGCTGACCAAAGATCATCGAAATCCGAAGAAGAATGATTTAAGTTGAATCCGCAGCTTGGTAGTCTTGTAACATACCATTTCAAGCGAAATTGGAAGGATTCTGGATTTCTCTGCTGTCGGTACACCCATCTGGTTAGTCTTAACTTCCCCGCCATTTCTTCTATTCTACTGGAGAAAGCACATTCCCAATAGTCACTAGTGTCCGCTCAAATCTTCCTTATCAAGATGTTCATCGTTACACAAGTGGTTAAGATTCGGCCAGATCTCAGATGGAATCATCCAAACCCTGCGACTGCAATAACGTGTTGATCTTTCGTCTAATCAGCTTACTCATTGTTCGAACCAGCCTTACATCTGACTAGGCCATTCGCTTCATGGGCATCACGTTGGAGGAGCATTTGCCCTGCCATACTCATCTCCTTCGCCTTTGAGTTTACGATATTTAAACGTCTATTTAAACTTCGCGGGAATGTCATGTAACTTCAACATGTCACTGCCCCAAAACAAGTTCATGGCCGGACGGGTGGGACACAAAGACGGCCCTTTTTGTGTACTCCTTACTTGATCCTGTGGTTAGTCACTGTGACTATCGAGGTGTAATTCAACGTTCATG